GTGTTCTCCAAAATGATGAGGCAATTGTTTTTAAGGCTTGGCCATTATTCAGAATTTATAGTCAAGACAGATGTTTTTAACACTTCTCTTCCACAATGTTTGTTTGAATGTTGGATGAGGCAGACCTTGATCTGAAGTAATTGTTCCTGAGTGGGAAGGACAGGACACATCAAACAGATGCTGTTAGTGGGAAACAATGTGAAACTTCATCCCTGTGACTCACAAGTTAATGGTACCAGTATATGATACAGGAAGAACAAATTTACAAAAAAAGCATGGAAGAGATGGAGGGTCTTTAATGACAGGAAATTTGGCAATGGATTCTAATTGTGAACAAAAGAAACAGAAACAAACAAACAAATGAACAAGGAAAGAAAGAAAGAGGGAAAAGATCTTAGGACTTTTTTTCCTTTTTAATTTTTAATTTTTATTAGCCCCTGTTTGGAGTATATAGTAATGGCATCCATCACGGGGAATTGGTACATGCATACAACACTTCTTAATTCTTTTTACTGTTTGGTCCTCAGCTGGAATATTGTATTGGCTTCTAGTGGATCATGCACTATTAGGGACATTTGGGTCAGATTTTTAGAGGAGGCAAACCAAGTAAAAAGATTAAAGATAAAATAGCAGGAGGAACAGTAGGAGGGGCTAAGACTGTCTAACATATAGAGTCCCTTCAGCGGTCTGAATCTCCTGCAGGAATAATTCTTGGCAGTGCCAGCCTCTCTGTAAAGCATACATACCTTAAATTATTAGATCTACAAAGCAAGCCTATAAGGCAACATGGGCTCAGCATGTTCCATGTATTTTCTGGCTTTTTGCCTTCTAGAGACATGGCGAGGTTGCCCTTCAAATTCAGCCATAGCTATGCAACATTTTTTGGTTACTAGAATGGAAACAGAAATGATACATGTACTTTCTGAGTGAATGCACACATCAATAGAGTCTTCACTAGCTGGCTGCTGACAGAAGATGAGATAGGTAGGTCTCAGCTTCCCTGTAACCACTCTACAGTGAACATGAGTTGTGAACACAAAAGAGCCTCTGTCATTTGAAGCTACTGAGATTTGGTCTGTTACTGCAGCAAAACAAAGCTCATCCTAACTGATACAGATAGTGATGGATATGAATGTCCTCCTACTTCCTACTTGCCTGATACCCGACATGCAACCAGTGATAAGGCTGTGATGCAAATTCTGTCATCTTTCCCAGACCACATGCATTTATCACAGTGCTACACACAGAGTTGAATATAATGTGTGGTTCTCAGGGCAGAGGAAGGGTCAAACCTGGAAGCTAGAAGAGGCCTGTTATGGCTTGTGTTTAGATGTTCCCCTAAAGCCTCATGTGGCCACAGAGTTTTGTTCTTTTTTTTCTCTTTTGAGGTGGCTGAATCTAGAGTGTGTGATTCATAGTGCAATGCTGGGGTTAGGGGTGCTAGGATCAAGGGTGGGTGATTGCTGGATCAATGCTTGGATGGCACCACCCTAATCCTGATAGGCTAGATACTACATAAGGGACAGAAAGAGGCTTGTCTTGCTCTCCCCTTGTCACTTTGCTGTCTTCTCCTGCAATGAGTAATTGCCCCTCTGCCTTGGAGACAGCCAATTATGGACTGTACTCTCTATATCTGTGAGGTAAATAAACCTTCCCCCTTTAACTTTGAGTGTCAGGTATTTTGTCTCAACAATGCAAAAACTAGCTAAGACAAGGCCCAAGTATTGGTTCAACATGTGAGATCTCTTACAACTAGTTATCTGACAATGGAAAATGCTGCTTGGGAAGTTTTTATCTCCTCGTCTCTGGATGCGTTGAAGCTTATCAATCCCTTTTCTAGGATGTAACGGTGGGAATCCAATGATCAAAAAGATGCCTGGACTGAAAGATGCATTAGTTTCCTCCCACCCTGATGCTGTGGGAGAAGGTACCTCTTAAGTGGGAGATAAGCCCAGAGGGCATTTCATAAACAGAGGATGACTGCAATAAAACATTCTCAGCCAGAGTGGGGAAAGACAGCTGCTTTGCGGCGTCTAGAGAACTGGTAAATGAAATCAATGATGGGATCCCACACACCCTACGTAAGTTCAGAAGAACCTAGCTGAGTTCTCAAATATTAATTGCAGGAAATGATTTGCCTGCTCCCGGTAGCAATGCACAGCCTCGGGTCAATCTTTCTTCTCTAAGAGCTCCCCCCAGCAAAGTACATTTCTGTCTCTCTAATATGCCCATGATACCGCTCTCCATTCCTTCCCATGCCAGGTTAATAACTACCAATGTCTTATTGTGACCAGAGATTCTCTCTGCATTTTCGATTCCACCTTCCTTTAGTGAGCTACTAAGACCCGTGTTCCCCCAGCCTGCAACTCTCAGCCACCTAAATCATAGAGCAAGGGGATTTTTATGCAAAATAAAGCACTTTCCATGCTTTTTCCCTTGCAATGATTACATGATTTTCCCCCGAACTTGAACAATATGTGTTTCATAAATAGATCCCTCTCTCTGTAAGCAAACCTTGGAAATGGATTATTTGTTTGGTTTGCATTCTGCCTCTCAGTTGTTGCTGCTACCAGAAGCCAGCTCTCATGGGCACACCGCAAAGATGAGGAATAAGAAGGGCTGTGAGTCACCCAAGAGCCGTCCTTTACACGGGACTCTGCTCACTCCGGACAGGACATTGCTTATTAGCACTTAGACCAGAAGACACCCAGAAGGATAGAATCATTTCCTAATCCAGGGGGTTGGGGGGAATTTTTAGAGAAGGGAAAATGTAGTGGGGCAAAAACGCCTGTGTTTTAACATTTGAAAGTTTACAGCACCTCTAAGCAGATGTTTACTGTTAGTACCTCTGTGTCATTTCTGGAAAATAATATGGAGGATATACAGTGTTTGTGTGATAGTCCTGTTCTCCTCTGAAGATATCAAACTGCAAGGGAATCATGCACATTTTACATGACGGTGCATGGGAGATACACAGTCAGATGGGAGAAAAGGAGACAGTGGAGGTCACTTTGAAACAAAAGACACATTTAATGCCAGGGTTTCATGTGCTCAGTAGCAAAATACTTCCAAAAGGTGTTCATGCCCCATCTCACAGAGAATCCCTGCTGTCAAGAATCCCCCCACACCAATCCCTGCCATTCAGAGTCCCCCCTGCCTCAGAGGGGAAGGGGATGTAGAGCCCCCAGCCCCTGACATGGCATGTCCAGTGGCCATGTGAGGGCCAGGGCACCATGCCCAATTTGTCTAAAGAGACTAAGTCATTTGATTCCCAGGACAAAGGAGCCCCACCAGACTGGACACAGTCCAGCAAGGAAATCCTGACATCACACAAAATAGAGACAACCTCATTCTTCTGGAATGCGATGGGTTTAAAGGATCACGGAGTTGAAATGTGCCTTTGTGTCTCACCTAAGTCGCAGCTAAGCCCATGAGGTTTTAGGTCTCACTGAGAATGCAGTCACTCATCTCATCACCCTGCAGTACCTGAGGCACTGATGCAGACAATACACACATCTCTTCCAGATGAACCTTCTATCTTTTAGGCAGGTGACACAGGCTGGTGACTTCCGGCCCCCGGGATTTTAACGCCAGATCCCCTGAACTCAAATTTCTCTTCTCCTACACATTACCTATACAATGACTGCAACTGAGGGTGATGACATACATGGAGTGCTTCAATCTCAGCACTCTGGGAGGCTGAAACAGGAGAATCACAAGGTTGAGCCCAGCCTGGGCAGCTTAGCAACTTAGCATGAGCCTGTTTCCAAATAAAAAATAATTTCGAAGAAAAGGCTGGAGATGTTCAGTGAAAAGGCCCTGAGTTCAATCCCCAGCAACAAAAGCAAGCATGAAAGAAGGAAAGGACTTTGCACAAAGCAGTTCTTTGTACTTAATTACTCATCCTGGAAATGGGAAAGGAATGGATGCTTGTCAGAGGTTACCCAGCTCCTGGAGCATCTCCAGCGACACTGAGCTTACTACCACCACCCTGCCACCACATTTATCATTGTAGAAATGGATTTCCTAAATATTTCAACTGGACATCCTTTCCTATTCAAGGCGCAGTGCCAATGGAGACTCCAGTTCTGACCACAGCACGGTCCGTGTGCCTTCACCTTTCCATGAAGGTGCATTCAAGTGTTGGTGGCCTGATGAGACTTTAAGAAGAGGGAGGGTTTCAGAACCAACATACTCCCTCTGGTTGCTCCTGACAAAAGTCTCCTGGAATAGGGTTAACCACTTCTTTGGTATCTCAATCCTCAGGGTTCTTCCTGCCACAGTGCAGGTGCCTCTGATCCTGAATAGGTGCCCCTCTCTCTTCACTTCTTGGGTAATGGGCTGTTAGAAGCGGTCAAAAGTCTACATCTTTTTCTCACACCAGTTTACGGAACATACACAACGTGTACACATAGGAATTGCTCATTCTGTGCTTAGCGAATAGTTGACAAATGAAACACGTCAAGCCAGGTGTGATGGTGCACACCTGTAATTCCAGCACTTTAGGAGTCTGAGGAAGGAGTTTTGAAGTTCGACCCCAGCCTGGGTAACTGAGAAATTTAATAAGACCCTGTGTAAAAATTTGAAAGTTTAAGAAAGGATTGGAGATGTAGCTCAGTGTGAGGCTCTGGGTTCAATTCCAAGCACAAGAAAGAGAAAGAGAAAAGACAGGAAGGAAGGAAGGAAGGAAGGAAGGAAGGAAGGAAGGAAGGAAGAAAGAAAGAAAGAAAGAAAGAAAGAAAGAAAGAAAGAAAGAAAGAAAGAAATGGAATGAAAGAAAAAGGAAAGGAAATATTTCCTTCCCTTAGCATTTACCACAGAAAGCCACATCCTACTTGTTAATTTAATTCTGTCCTAGGTATCACCTATATGCTGCTGTCACCTAGTATCATAACTCAAGGCCTACAGTGCCTGGCCTACAGTAGATGCTTAATAAATGTTTGTGTTATGAATGAATGAAAGAGAATAAATGGGTAAGTCACAGAGTGGATCAATGAATGTTTAATGTTTCAGGCTGAATAAAACATTTGCCATCTGATGACTTGGGTGAGTTTGGGCATATGCATCAGCTCATTAAGTGCATGGCAAAGAATCAGTCACTGAGCTTGTCTCTTCATAAAATATGATTTGGGGGCTGTAATATACCTGGGATTATGCATGCATGAAATAGAGCTCTAATTGTAAGCAATCCATAATGATCCTTTTACCCTTTCCAATCCTGAGTTGGAGGTCCTTTTCTTTCATTGTTTTCGTCTTTATTCATCTCTCCTTTCCTCTCCTTTCAGTGCAAAAGTCACCATCTTCTTTCTCACAGAAAGAAAAAATAAAGCATGGGCTGGTTATCCTTTCTTTGATAGACCCAATTCAGGCTTCATTGTGAAAAGTGAAAAAAGCACAAGGCATTTATCAGAAATAAACATCAGAGCATCGCCAAGTGTGGGCAAGGATGTGAAAGGAACTCTCACATATTTTTGAGGAGAATATAAACTAGCAGAAGTATTTCAGAAACTGGATGTGATTGCTTTCAAAATGAAATGTACTCCTACAATATAACCTAGCAATTCTATCCCTAGGACTATGTATCCATGAAAAATGAGTGCACATGTTCAAAAAGACATATGTAAGGAACTTTATGAATGACTTACTCATCTTAGTTAAAAAAAAATAGATGTGTTATATCTACATGATGGAATACTATGTAGCAATCAAAAAAAGTACAAACTATTGTTTTAACAGTACTACTTCTTTCTCATTAGCCCTGAAGAATTTCACAGACGTTTTATTGGGTGCAAAAACCAGAGTGCCTATGGCTGGCTGTGGTGGCACACACCTCTAATCCTAGTACTTTGGGAGGATGAGGTAGAAAGATCACAAGCTCAAGCCTGGCCTGGGCTATTTAGCAACTTAGAGAGTGTGAAGGGTCAGTGTGAAGGACCTGGGTTAAATTCAATCGCTAGTATCGCACAAACTCATATCAGGTTGTGATGCTGGAACTAATCAGTAATGATGGAAGTTTGCATATTGGGTGGGATGAGACAGACTAAACAGAACAGGGGCAGGAGAGCCTTTGGGACAGTGGGAAAGGTTCCCTTCTTGCTCATATGGATGGACACATGGGAAACCTACACCATGGGTGCCATCCACTTGGCGTTCCCATACTTTATGTACTTCACGCTAGGGCTATTAATATAAAAAAGAAGATTAATGGCAGCAAATGCCAAGATTCTCTCAGTAAACCAAGACTCTTGACTTCTTTATCCATTGGTACCATCTTCTTATTGCTGTTAAACATCAGTGCATGGCTTTCAATGGATTTCCTAGATGGGACATGAAAAGAGATAGTTCAAAGCTCTGATGTTTGTTACCTTAGAGGGAAGTTCTCACAGACCAATGATAAACTTGGTCTTGGAACCCTAGGAGCTGGGTTTATATTCTGGCTTTGCCTTGTATTAGCTGTATAACTTCAGTACATCCCCTTAACCTCTATGTCCCAGTCCCTGCACCCAGGAAAAGGGAATACATCAGCAAGACCTTACAGGGTTGAAATGAGAAAATGTATGTAAAGTGGACGGCTCAGTGCTTGGAAAAGAGTGAAGAGTGAGTTGTCACGGTATTGGCAGAGTTAGAAGCTGTGGTTGTAGTAGCATGAAGAGTAACTACAAAGGCAGCCATAAAATAACTAGAGTCTCCTTAGCCTGTCCAGACCAAGCTCTGAAATACTGGGTTTTGAGGCATCATGGCAAGGCAGATTCAAGCGCTGTGATTGCTAGACAACACTGCGGGCTTATCGCATCAGAGTAGAAACCTCTGAGTCTGGCTGGAAAAGGCAAACGTGGGCTACAAGCCATTTGCTCCTGAATCTGGGACACCCCATACTTAAGGGAGGACATTAACCCATGTTCTGAGTGTCACCATAGCCCAAAATAAAGCCAGATGTGCCGTGGCCCGGGCTGCACCCAGCCTGTGGTTCCTCCGGCGGACGAATTGCATGATTCTCTGTAATAATCTCTCTCCATTGGCCTCTCAGGACACTGTGTGGTTACTGTGTGAAAAAGAAAACCAGGGGTTAAGCCCTGGTGGAACTGTGTCTGGTTAGATCATTTACGCTCCTAATTACTTTCCATCACCCCACCGGAGTGTGTCTGGTTGTTCCTAATGGGAAAAGTGATTTGCTGTGGCGTCCACATGGGGAAGGCTGTGTGACTCATAGGTTGGGGCACTGCTCAGGGAATGCGGTGTGGCCAAGTCCTGATTCAGCCTGAGAAGCCACCGCTCTTCCTGACACAGCCTTTTGCACTCAAAGACAAAGCCCTGTGAACTCCATCAGGACACAGAAGATAGGCTGCCCATCGTCCCAGCTGGTTTTACCATTGTTGGTAGCAATGGAAGTCACCTTTTGGTGACCACTAGCTACATGCCGTGTGCAACTGTGGTGCCACATGAGTTGACAGTGGTGCTGTCTGTCTAGCACTTGTCACAGCTGTTTTAAAGATGATGAAATGAAAGGCTATAGAAATGAACACAAGCCTGTAAATAACAGACCCAGAAGTTGGATTTTGTCATGGCTGATCTCAAGTCTATGCTTCCCCAGTGGAACGTGTTAAATCCATTGTGAGTTTTAACTTCACACGCCTACACCTGGGCTCTCTACTCAGGATCTTCACCCTAAAGATCAGCATGCCATCCTCAGAGGGTCTGCATCTGGCTTGGGTCAGTTATCCCGATTCCATATGCTAGCTGTCAATTTCCCTTCCAAATCTCGCATGCATTAAAGAAAGGCTGTCAGTCCTTGTGGCTCCTTTCTCTTTCCAAGGAAGTATACATATAGCAATGATCAGGAAAACTTGGGTTCAGAATGACTCAGCTCTTCCAACTTAAATCTCACTCCTATTTTCAAGTTTCTAGAAGACTCCAAGATGAAAGGAAAAGGTGCAAAACCTCATGTTGGCTTCTCCAACGTGCACACACATCTCAGCGTACTGAAGTGCCATGTTGATTGGACACTAAGACAGCACCCTAAAGCTTTAGCGTCAGAGAACAAAAAAATGAAAGTAGCTACAGCTGCCTATTATGCTTAGAACCTAGGATATACTCAATGAAATATAATTGTTTTATTTTCGTTCCCTAAAAGATAGCTATGAGCTTTTACTTCCTGTAGATGTGCCAAGAGATTCCTTACAAGACTGCAGCCTCTGGATGGTCAGTTTAACCCCCAGGAGAGACTGCATGTGATGCATTGCATGGGGAAAGATTCCATTTCCCATGAGCTGCTGATTTTCCTGGGTCAAGAGGAAACTTACTTGTCCCACAGGGTCTTTGAGGAAATGAGTCTTCGACTGGCTAGAACCAAGCCCTCCACAATAATATGGAACACTGGAGAAAAGACACAAATGCCCAAGCATTTTCATAAGAGGAACTTATGCCTACCCTGTGATGGGATGTATTTCTTCCCACTCACTCTGTGGCTGCCAATGAGCCATTATGTCTGGGTGATGCAGGGCTACTCTCCACCACGCATCTCCACAGGGTCAGATGTGCAGGCTCACCAAAAAGTCGCGTAGGGTGCGTGAGGTGGTTGCCTGGGATTGCAGAACTGTGCCTCAAGAGGCGCCTGAAGTACAACAAATGGCAGGCATGGGTGTGTTGCAGTCACATCTCCAGGATTTACATCTGCTTAGAATATTTTTAGCTCCACACATTTCTTGTCACTGAAACTGAGCAGGAGCTGTCACATACAATTCAAGATAGGGCCAAACCTGACTCTGTTTCCTATTTTCCAGCAGCTGAAGGCCCACACTTCAGGATTCATTTGGGTGATTACGGGAAAGATGAAGTCGTTGCAGATTTCATCACCAGGAAGGCCTGCCATGTCTTGTAAGTGATTTGATATTTACACAGATCAGGCTTCGGAAATAATGAACTCCCAGGAAAGATGCAATGGGCATGTCTCCCTAAGTCACAGAAGAGAAAATACTTAATGCAAAGGAAGGAACTAAGGCAGTGTTTCTCTGGAGTGTTTTCTCAAATATAGGTCCTTTTATAAAAAGAGGGCTCTATTATCAAATAATAGGAGTATGATGTAAGTAGTTCCATCTTGGAATCCCAGAAGTACATCAGCAAACAAAAGCCTCTGATGTCCAGCAGTCTTGAAACTTTTGTGCCAGAATTTCCTGCAAGTCTATGCAGATGGAGACTTTAGTTTTTAAGGAATACCTGTAATCTGGAATGCCTTCTAAAGAAAATATCTGCTAACAAGGAAGCTCCTACTGTTGCAGAAGCCCAGGGAAATAGTTGCCCTCCCCCCATGTGTAAGCAGGCCATCTCAATAAAAGTCCTGTGGAGCTGATTTGACTTGGAGGTGGTTGTTTCACACCAATCAGATTTTTAGGGAAGGAGTTGAGAGATTAGAGCTAAATCACCCTCACAAATAAAAGAGATTCCACTTCTGGGTAGACACCCAGAGGAATTGAAATCAGTGCCAGTTACCCGCATATCCATGTTGATTGCAGTGCTGGTCTTGGTAGTCAAGATACACCACCAACTATGTGTGGGTCATCAGAAGGACAAAGAAACTGCGGTATAGATGTTTGTATGATGGAATATAATTCAGCCTTCAAAAAGAAGACAAGCTGCTTGTTTGGTACAATGTGCATAAACCTGGAGGGTATTATGTTAAGAGAAATAAATAAGACACAGAAAAACTGGATACTGCATAATTCTGTTTCTGTGTGGAATCTAAAAATGTCAGACTCATAGAAGCAATGAGTAAAAGGGTATTACCAGAGGATACGAAAGCTGGATCAACAGGAAAAGAAAGATACTGATTAAAAGGTACAAAATTTCAGTTCAATGAGAGGAATAAGCTTTGCCCAGAATGGTGACCATAATAAGAAACAGAGCAACATGTCTTTCAAAATTGCTAAAACAGTAGATTTTAAATGCTTCACCAAGAACAAAATTGATAAGTATTTGAGAGAATAGATTTGTTATTGACTTGACTTCATTATTCCCAAGTGAAGACATATATCAAAACATCACACTGTACCCAATACATATATCCAATTGTTAGCTGTCAATTAAAATAAAATTTAAAAATAAATAACTAAATGATACAAAGGGAAGTTTTGGGCTTTCCTGACGTTGTCATTGAAGTTACTTTCTCGGAAGGTGAGTGTCCTACTCCAGAGAGGAGACCTACCATAAGCTTAATGAAATTCTAGCAGGGAGGTGGTTACTGATCTGGGCTCTGAAGCTAGGAGAGAAAATTCCCAAGTTCTCTTTCTCTTCCTAACAGCAAGCAATTTCCTCAGCCTACTACTGCCTCCCCATCCTAACCTTCAAGTTGAGGGAAATACTATAACGAGGAGACCATCTACTCAGTAGCTGACTCTTGGGAAAAAGCAATAAGACCACAGAAGGGCAGCTCTGTGTCTATGATAAGCTGTCGGTAACTGCTGGCTATTAGGACAATTTCCAGTTTTGCTACTCTCTGGTTTTCCCCTAGTGAGCAGCTCCAAAATGCTTTAGAGAGTGAAAGTGCATGATTTGTTCCAAAGTGATGAAGGTTGGACAGGGAGAAAGGACTAGGGACCACAAAATATAGAGTGGGGGGGATGTGGCAGCCAGAGGAGGATGGGAAGGCAGCCACAGGGCTGGGCCTGTGCTGAGCAGGAAAGAAGAGAAGCCCTGAGGCTCAACAACCACAGAAGAAAGAGAAGGACGCAGTCACCGCCAAAACAAACTTGTAAAACATTGCCAGGAAGTGCCACTGAGCTACCCGTGAAATGCTGGGCGTGCCTTCAGGGAAAGGTAGGCTCAGCCCTGGCATTTGCTGGCTTCCCTTTTCTTCTACAGTTCTCATTCAGATGTTTTTTCTCTTTCTCTCTTCTTCTTTTAAATATGCTTCCTGCCACCTGGGCCCCTATAAGTTTTTTCAGGATTGGCTGTCTGTGGGTGATTTATCCCGCCCTGGTCCAGGGCATACAAACCCAGGAATGCTGGGTGCTCACCCCCAGCTAGACCCCCAAGCGGGTGTCTGCATGGGCACCAGTGATGAGTCAGGGCTTGACATATGTGCCAGGGCTCCAGGCTGCCACAACAAATTACCACAAACTTGCAGCCTTATGCCAGACAGGAAGTCAAAGCGCCAGCAGGCCAGGCCTCCTCTGAAGCTCCAGGGGAGAAGCTATCCCTGCCTCTTCCAGTTTCTAATGGCCCCAGCATGCACAGCTCCAGTCCCTGCCACCATCTTCCCAAGGCCCTCTTGACTGCACATCCTCCTGTCTCCTTTTCTAGGGTTACTCACAGCGGAAGTGGAGGTTCCTTTACCCAGTGAGATCTCATCTTGAGATCCTAGACACATCACGTCAGCAAAGACCCTATTTATAAATATGAGGTGTGATTGAAAAAAAGAAAAAAAATACATTGCTATTAATCCCCCTTACGACACTCCCCATAGCTTCAAATACAATTAGTGCATCTCTCTGCCCCTTTCTGAAGCAGGCTCAGAAGTCTTCTTTCATGAGTCTTTGTCTGAGGTACGATAAAGAATACAGTAGAGTTGTTTCCAAGCGCTGCCTAATGGAAAGGCATCTAAACACATTATGGTGTAGCCTCATCCTCTTTATTCACTGGATCTGGCGTCGTGTGACTTCTGGCTCTTCTCGAAAGGCAAAATGACTCTCAAGGTAAATGCCTTGAATTGATGCAGGACATGGGGGCAGCCATGCTAGCACCAGGGCAGACCCTCAGGAAAGAGGACTTCCAGAACTGCTTCAGAAGGTGATAAGAGTGATGGGATAAACACGTTCAAAGTGAGAGGGATTAATGACCATGTGTCTTTTATTATAATAAATGTTTCCAAAATTAAACATTCACCATATACTGTGATCACATCTCCTAAGGTAAGATCACATGCTGAGTTTTCAAGTGGATGTGAACTCTGGGGAGACTCTGTTCAACACACTAAGTTTTGACTTGAGATCAGAGTCACTAAAGGGGCTTGTGGTGAGTCAAAAAGAGGGATAAGCGGAGACTGGTCACTAAGCTAGGACAGGTAATAAGAAATAATAGGAGCTACCATGATTACAAGTTGGGCGAAATGTCTCCATATGTCATTTCATTAAATCTTTACAATACACACATAGGGTTAATACCACTGTTAGCCCTGGAAGGAGGAGGGGGAGGTTGCTAGGGAACTTTTCCATGGTCATGGAGTGGAATAGTTGTCAACGGAAGCAGCAGCACATGAAGACAGGAACATGTGCCTGGGACACCCACACTCTGGACCTATTCAGAGGACAACATCTGTGCACTGCGATTCTTTGGCCCTTATGCACTGAATGAGGAAGACCAAGCCTAAGTCATCAATAAACTTTACATTGACTAAATAAGACAAGTAAAATGATTCTTACCAAGAAAGCACTCTACATGGCTTAAAAGACCTCTTACCCTTTTTTCCCCCACCATCTCCAACAAATATTTATCCTTCCTCCCTCATGGGCCTAGAATAAATAACTAGATTTTACAGAACATTCTTTAATTTGATATGAGCCCTTGAAGGCCAGGCAGGTAACACCATTCACAAAAGCAAGTAATTGCACTGTGAATGGTGCAGGCCAACTGGACTCCAGGCCTGAGGCTGACCTTGGGCTGCAATGTGAATTCTTCCACATCCCTGGATCTACGTGCCCTTAAGTAAAAGCCAAGGCTTAGGGAAAGGCATCCTGTAGCTGTGTTTTAATTCTAATTGTGATTGCTCTCCACCTTCCCATTACCGTAGATCTCCCACCATGGAGCAACTCGATTGCCTGAAAATGAAAACTGATTCCAAAGCCTGGATATCCCTCCATGGGATTTCTCTTCCCTCTTCGCCCTACCATGTGAAACTCTTGTGTTCAAGAAGGGGCATCCTCGGTAAGACACAGAGTCTTGCTCTAGGGTATTGGAATTGAGTGTATTTTGCACGGTTCAGGACAATATTATCATAGTCCCCCCTACACACTGTACTGTTGTAGTCAAATTTCTGATGCTATGACAGAATACCCAAGACTACGTTATTTATGGAGAAGAGAGATTTATTGAGCTCATCATTCTGAAGAATGGGAGGCAATGAGTATGATCCTGTCATATAATGGAGAGGGATTTCTTGCTGTCACACAAAAAGAGAGTGGGGATCACATGGTGATTCAGATTAACTTTTTCCCCTCACGTCCCTATTTTGCTTTTTCAAAAGCCCCCAGTCTCATCATGGAGGTCCTATCTCCATGACCCTGTCCACACCAATGCCTCCCAAAGGCCCTGCCTCCATACATCACCCCTATATGAATTCAGAGATTATATTTTGAAGGTGACATTCGAGCTGTGGCACCTATCTGTCCTGTCCAGCCCTAACCTGGTGTTGAATAAGAGGCAGGAAGTAGGGATGGGCTTGCTGCTTCTGGAACACCAGTCTGAGTTCAGGCAGGTTTCTGAGCTTCTGCAAGAAGACAGCCCCACATTTATTTCTGCAATGACCTAAATGATTGCTGGTGTCTGAAAAGAGATTCTTCTTGGAAGTAGCACACATTTCCCAGCCTCCGGAATAAATTTCCAATTTTATTTTTCATTGGAATAGGACTTGTCTGGTTGTACACCCTCACTGTTTCCTGGATATGCTTCTCTGTCATGAGGATGTGGTTGTGGATGGTCTGCCCTGCACACACAACTGTCTTAGGATGCCCACAGGAAGTGGGGTGATTTATTGGGACAGAGGGGACCTTAGCCTGCAGCTCCTGATAGAGATGAACAGGATAGATCCTGGAGGAGATGTATGTGCATAAGTGCGATAAACAGGGAGAAGAGGGAGTAGAGAATGGAAGAGAGCTGGAACAGCTTACAAAAGAGAAAACACTTTAATTAAGTTTTAAAGGATCAATAGGAGTTCCTCAGGACAAGGAGAACAACAGTTCAGACGGAATGCACAGCATGGATGAGGGTCCTAAT